CCTCGCCATGGAAGATCATGTTACCTGGCTGTACACCTGCCAGTCCCATCCCCTCCAAACAATCGAGCTGTTAAGATAAACACACTGCAATTACTATGCTCAGCATTATTTCCTCACTTCTGACTTTGACTTTCAAATTGCTAGTGAGCAGCACACAATCTTTAACAATACAAAATAAATTTAAATACTAGATTTTCTCCTTTTCTGCTTACCCTTTAAGTTTAACTCATTTTAATTTTGACTGGACATTAAGAAGGTAAGAAAACTTCATGCATGGCATCATTTTCATGGCACAGACCACCTCTTTCTAACCCCTAACTTGTCACATCTATCTTGGCACTATAACAAGCTATATTTTTGATTCATAACTGCTTCTGAAACAGAGGCAATGCTCTTTTTGAACAGCATATCTGGCACCCTTCTCCCTCTTACATCAAGGCTTAGTCCTTCATTTTGAACAGTGTATACTTAATATAGCCAGTGACGTGCTCGACCACTGAGCTAATGTGTGACGGTGTTTTTTGTTCTATAGGGTATTCAAGTAATAAACTGCTTTAAGAGCAGTGGCTAAATTGTTCTGTGCTGACCTTTTTAGACTGCTTTGCCTGCGTTTCATCAAATCCACTTTTAAAGTGATGTTAGCACATGTGAAAAGTGCTGAAATGATAACTCGGAAGGTTTGCATGATCTTTTCTATCAAACATGTTCAGCACAGGTGGTAACAATATAAACTTCCCTACCAATGCTCTCTCCCTGACTTGAGGGGCTAACTTCAGAAGTGAGATGCTGGCCTTTGTTTCTCTGCTGAGACTACCACCAAGGTGCCCATAATCAAAAACTGAATTGCTATCAGAACTGACACTACTTGTGATCCCATATAGTATAAACTGGAGAGAGATTTGTAGGACAGCCATCTGATAGTATTCTTTCTGTCATTACAGGCCACAGTGTCTTCTTTACCACATCTAAATGTTTTCCTATGTTTAAGTGAAAGCCTTGCTGTTGGACTTAGTGTGGGCATCACTCTTTCACCCACACCTGTAATTTTGCTTCATGTTTAAGTACAGTTGTATTTACACAATAAATTAATGTGTTCAAAAGAAGTGGCAAGTAGGCAATCTGAACAGGACATTTATGAAATAGAGGGGGGAGTCTCCAGTTTCTAAACTTGAGGCTGCTTTTGCAGGTACTAAGCAAATTTGTTGTTACCAGAACCAGGTTGTCAATGAAGTTTTACTAACTATAAATGTATTTCTTGTCTTGCCATGGGGGTTTTAAGAGCTTGCTGCTGTCTTGTAGATGTGTAATAGCATTTTCTACCAAAAGTCTAAATTTTAATTATACTCCGTGCCCAGATTTTTCTTTTGTGCTTAGAATTAAATTTCTATTTAGAAATAGAATCCTACAATCAAAAAATGAATGTCATTAATAATAGAGAATAAATATGCAAGGCATCCACAGATTTTGATTTGAAGAAATACATGTCTTCATGTTTTTCCAGCCTGGTGTGGGTGAGCTGGGTGATGTGATATATGTCTGAGTATTAGAAGACTATAAAATTAATATGTGCAAATAAAACTTCAGTTACTATTTTCAGGTATTGAGAGGCTGTTAAACGGAAGCTCATGCTGAGTTCCAGTTGTAAGATTATTGAACTATGTGATAAGTGATTGATGGGCTAGGGGATTTATAAACAGTCTTTCTTTATATCTGATGTATTTTATACAATTCAGTTATTTTGTTAATGTAGTTTAGAAACCGCTGCATGGAGCCCTTTGTTTTTGATTTGACTGCTAGTAAAGAGGGATGTGTTAACTTCTTGTTTGGAGTGAAATTTGGTGTCTGACTTCATTAGCATAGTGGTTCTTAAAACAGATTAGTGGACCACTTCCAGATAGTGCAAATTGCTGCTGTCATCAGTAATGAGATATGTACCACTGAAATGGGGAGTGGTAAACAGTCTTCATTTTAGGTATAGATGAATCAGCCTTCAACCAGAGCTCCTTTATGTTCCTAGAAGTGCTCCCTTGTGCTGCTTTTGCCTGTTTAGTTCTTGGAAGGAACCCAGTCTGTTAAGTCTTTTTTTGTCAGCTAGTACTTTGATGTAAATTCAACCATGATCAGATTTACTGAGGGCTCAACACTGGATGAATAGACAACAAAAGGGACACAGAAACAAACTGCAGAATGACCTGGAATGGTTAGAACAGTGGGGCTTGTAAGCAATGAGGGAAAATTTTGGGTACTAAAAATGTAAAATCTACCAGGAGAGTGGAAATAAAGAGCATGTATACAAATTGTAGTGGTGGAATGTAATCAGACTGAACAACTCTCTTCAATATACTTACTGGCTTATTTTCAATTTGGGGCCTAGCCCTTTTAAATGGAGCCAGGCATGGTGTTTGCTGCAAAGTGAGGCTGGGAGGGAAGGTGGTCCGAGATTTCTGAAGCGGTCCACAGTATAAATTTTTTTTGACACATGCTGGGTTATTGAACCATCTGAAATTACTGTTAGGCTACAACATGGGAATTGCTATACCATAACAGACAACGATCTAGCTAGTTAGGTTTCTCATATCAGTGATGGTGGGTGAAAAATGACATCCACTTCAAATTAGGCATAAACAGTTTATTTTAGCATATATTTTGTACATTTTAAGACAATACTGTTATCACCTATGAATGACATATACATGCAAAAACAGATAAGGCAAGAAAGATAACCCATCAAGTTCTGTCGCCTAGGGATAGAGCAACTTCTTTCAAATCTCTGGTCTCTGTTTTTCCCTGTCTTCTACACGCTCTTGTTGTCAATCACATATCTTTTATCCCTTGTTCTGTAGCTTTGTGCAGAATCTATTTCCCAAGTTAGCTCATCTGTGTACCTATCTAATTAAAACATTCCCATGCATGGAGGGGATGGAATGATGAGACTGCCTGCAATGGCATGTAGCTGATCTGTGACTGCTAGCACCAAATATCGCCAATGGCCAGTAATGGGACATTAGATGAGGAGGGCCCTCAGTTACTACAGCAAATTCTTTCCCAGATGTGTCTCCGGTGGGTCGTGCCCACATGCTCAGAGTCTTACTGATCGCTATATTTGGGGTCAGGAAGGAATTTCCCCCCAGGTCACATTGGCAGAGACCCTGGGTTTTTTTTGCCTTCCTCTGGGTCATGGGGCACAGGTTTAAACTAGTTTAGAGGGTGAATTCTCTGTAATTTGAAGTCTTTAAATCATGCTTTAAGGACTTCAGTAACTCAGCCAGAGTTTATGGGTCTATTACAGGAAGCATGGGTGAGGTTCTGTGGTCTCCAATGTGCAGGAGATCAGACTAGATGGTCATGATGGTCCCTTCTGACCTTAAAGTCTGAGTCTATTAATCACAGTAACTAAGACATTTTTGCTTATCCTGCTAAAACTTACTTTTATCTGTCTGCTTCTGTCATCTATTCTTTACTATCCTCCAGTTTTTGCCTTACAATAGTTATTCTCCTTACTGATCTGTTTTTATGACCTTGGGTTTTTTCTTGTTGGGGGAGAGGCGGTACACCTGGAGCTTATGCTCTGCTTTACTCTGTTGTTACACAGACCAAGGTTTTTACAAATGAGAGAGAAACCAGGTTTCATGGTTTACACAATCCAGAAGCTGTTTCAGCGAAGTTCTGAAATGCTGCATCAGCAGAGACATACAAATTGCAAACATTCCTTGATATTTTCTTGTATTATATATAATATCGATTTCTCTAGTTAGTATGTATATTTGACTAACAATTTGTTAGTTTTCTAACCGAGGTTACTGCAACATACTCCATAGGAAGTTGTAATTCCCTTGTCTCCACAATGCATTCAGTGAGGAGTGGTAGGGAAAACTTCATCCTAATCTTACTGGAGATCAGTTTATGCCCTGAAGAATAAGGATTGATTAGTCATTAACACTTTTATGCTATTAGTGTAACCGCAGTGTATTCAAATAAATATGTAATCTTTAACACATTTCTTTGTTTATGGTGGTTTTAGTAGTGTGTGTGTGTGTGTGTGTGTGTGTTTATAAAACTAATTTTATCTACCTACACATCTAGGGTGTGTAGAATGTGGTTCATGAGACTGTATGTTAGGAGTGCTGCTTTTAGTTGCATAATTGGGGCTTTTGCATCTGTTAGAATCTGGGTTTAAAATTGACTACTTGTATTGTATTAAAGGTGAATATGCTTGAGTGAATTCATATTCCTTATTTTGCTATTGTACTAAAATCCTAGTTTTTAAAATTCTCTATCAGGCTTCCTTTGAGTATTCTGCATATGTTGAGTTGTAGAACTAACATGCATGTCAGGATATCAAAACCAAATTTAAGGGTCAAATAGTGCAATCACAACCCTTATTCTCAGTTCATATTCTGAGCCACTGTCCCATCTTAATCTAGCCCAGATGAGTTATCAGGATGTGTATTTAGAGCAGCACCAGCAGCATATAGAGCAGTTGCAATATTGGAAAGAGATGAGAGAAAGGAAGACCAGTCAAACTGGTTATACAAGCATGGGTAGAGGAGTGTTCTCCATGTAGCAGTAAAGTATTCTGAACTGCTTATAGGAAAACTGGTTACAGGGAAAACAAACATGCAAAAGTAGTCATCTGCCCGAAGCAAAACACTGTGTGAGCTATCCATGATTACTATCCATGTTTAACCAGTGTTAAACATAAAGAGAGCATTCCTGGCCCCCATTGAAGTTTATGGCTAAACTCCCTGGAACCTCAATGAGATCAGGATTTCACCTAAACAGTCATAGGCCATATTTAGAGCTAACCAAGATAGTGACTGTGATTAATGTAGTTAAAAGTTAGTGTGTGTACAGGACTTAAAATACTGCACCAGCAAGAAGGCATTTTTCCTCCCAAAAGTGGCTGGAAAGGAATTTCCCCTATCCTGCCAGTTTAAACATGGGCTTTATTCTGATACTTGCATGTGGAATGACTTACAAGAGGCTCTTTTACTTTACAGAGACGGAAGGCTTCAAAATTGACACTATGGGAACCTACCATGGAATGACTTTGAAGTCTGTAACGGTAAGTTAAAAAGCATTTCTGAAATGTTGTATGCCTCAGTGACAGCATATATAAATGGTTCAGGTTTACTTTGCCTGTGCCTCTCAACAAGATTGTCTGTTTGTTTGTTGGAAGCATTAATGAGAAGTCAATGTCTGATTTTAAAACCTGGGGAATGCACTGGTTGTGTATAAATTGAAGAGCTCTTTTTTAAAGATGTTTATAACCCTGGGTAGAGGCTAATACTTTGCCTACATTAGAAAGGGTTTGCCAGTATAGCTATACCGGCAAACTCTCCTACTGGAGATGCAGATGCTATCATCAGTAATTCTTTTGCCAGTATTGCTTATAGGAGTTATACCAGCAAAAGGTCTTTTTTGTCGGTCTAACTGTGTCTGCCCTAAGGCTTTTGCTAGCATAGCTATGTTGGTTAGCGGTGTAACATGTCAGCAAAACTTTGAACTGTGGACCTGGAATGTTGCCTCATAGTCAACTTTCTGTTTGGATTTAATTTAGTGATGGTAGAGTTCGTTGACCTCTGCAGTACTTGTCTAAGCTTTTTCCTCCATCTAGCCTGGTGAGATTGATGACCATATGTACCAAATGACTTGATTTATCTTTTAATGTGGATTGCTATACGTACAGATGAGAAAGCAGAGACCCTCAACCAGACTTTTATTTCATGTTTGTCTTAAATTGTCTGCTTATATGGAAGTTGGTTGAACATTCTCAAACAAATGCTGTTGTGATCTGCTTATAAGTAGGATAGATGCTACAAAACTAACATAAAAGCCTCATTAAGACTTTTGTCATTGGTATACCTATATACATCTGATGAATAGAAAGCCCTAAACGTTCTTCTAAATCTGTGCACCTATGCCTACTGTGCACTCCTAATTTGAACATAAAATAATGCCTAGAATGTAAATGTTTCGAAACTAATTGGTTCTTATTTGAACTTTTCCCTTTGTCTAATAAAAACTGTTTTGCTGTTGTCCTCCTCCAGTCTGAAAACACTGGCATCCAGTTCATCTTTTAATATTTAATTTTAAGTAATGAATCCATTTGGTGCCAAAAGTCTGTCTTTTAGATTAATTCAAAATGCACTGATGTGTAGAATTAAGGGGGGGAAATGTGGCTGCTTGAATCAAAGGCCTTGTGTTAGAGTGGTGCTTGTTAGGCTAGCTCCAGTGAAGGGTCTAGCAGCACTAGGTTACTAAACACAGATTTTCAGGGTGTAATGTCTGTTTCAAATCGTCATGTTGTGACTTGGCAAACAGGTTGCCTGCTTGTTGTCCTGTGGGGAAAAAAAAGTTTCTATTATGTTGTTCAAAGCTTTAGCTAAACTAGGCTTAATTAAAATTTTAAAAAAATCTTAAAGTGCAATTAGTCAGGAAAGTGACTTTAGAAATAGCTTTGCATGGCTTCATATCAAAGTTCTGCATCCAAAAGTTTTCCCCCCCCCGATAACTCCACCTTACAAATTCAACACAGGATCTATAGTTTTAAGATACTTTGAACTGAAATCTTGAATACAAGTTGCTAAATTGGATTCCTTTGGTTTTTTTCCCCCCTACAAGCTCTTCCATTGAAGAAAAAAGTTTCACAGTTTAAAAAAAGACTAATAATGAAACTAAAACTGGTTCTTTACTTAATATGATCTAGAACCTTTTGGAATAATAATAATAATAATCCAGTTTCTTAAAATGTTATGGGACTACACATAAGATCTTTATAGTGCCATGAGAAGCAATAAAATCTCCTCTGCCATTTTAGAATTACTCCATCTAAGAATCAAGTTCTGTGTTACTTTTAGAATCTTATTTTCCACCAGACTTTTCATTAGTTTTAAAGCTGAATCTGAGAGTTGTGGTGGAATCTTGGCTTTGTGTTATGGACGTGGAGGAAATAATTGTTACTTAAGTGGTGCAGAAATATTACTATATGCATCTCTCTCCAAGCTTGATTTCACTTAAGTGAGTGGCATGGTTTGAAGGAGATTGTATAGTCAGACAACCACCAATCTGTCCATGGTATCAAGTTTGTGACTTCTTTTGAGTTTCACACTTTCTTTTCAGTCCTGTTTCTTCTATTTTTCACACAGTACTGGAAGAAATCAGACTGTCAGGGAATTGAAACATATTCTGCACATTTAAAAAAGAAAGTAATGCAGTAATTTGCTCCCAACTAGTTGAATGAAAAAAATAATAAATATGTATTAGAATACTTGGTCAGTCCTCACTTCTGGGAAAAATGCTGAAATCTGATGTAAAGCATTCTGTGGCAAGGTAGATGCTTCTCTTAATGCTCTTCACTCATAGCATCTTTGATTTATTTCTATTCTGGCTTCTACATCAATTGTTTTTGGAATGGAGGAGATCACTGACTACCTTGGGGAAGATTGTTCCTCCAGTTGATTCTCTGAGCACAACTGGATGTTGAACACTGTTGTGACTACATGATCTAACCTTGATTTATCAAGTGCTAAATTGGTGAGTTGGGCACATTCCTCATGGTTTTGTTCTTCAATCCTTGATTTGTGTGGTGCAGATGCATCCAAATACAATTTCCTCAGTTCCTTCTCTTCAGTGATTCTCAAACTTTTTTGTTCTGTGAACCACTTTGTGATACCAGCACTTCCTTTTTCTATCCCCCGTGGTATTAGTTCCCAGCAATTTTCATCTCACAGACAACTGTAAAGGACTTGACAGATCTCTGGTTGTTTCTGGGCCATAATGTGGAACCCAGCTATCTGTAGTAATCTGCCCACCTCTGACACTTTAAAAATGCAGCTTCAAATCCTACCTTTTCTGTGCAGCTTGTGATCCATACACAGTTGTCCAGTTTTCTAGTAGGCTTCTTACTACTATGAACTTTGAGTTTCTCTTAGTTTGTGTCTCCCACCTGCTCTCATCTTCCTGTTGTAACTGCTTTGCATTGATTTATATGAAACTCTCAAAACTATCGAGTCTGAATATATTGAAACTGCTCTCTGGATTGTAACTGATATTTGAGAGACTCTGGATGCTTGCATTTTTCTACAAATAAACAAAACTACATTTTTATTGCTGCTTTGTAAGTGGTGTTGGAAGCTCAATTAGAATTCAAAATTTGTAACAAAATAGATTGTGAATAGTGGACTTTTTTGAAGTAATGTCAGCTAAAATCTGTGCTGCTGGCTGTTCTTTGCTGTAGTAGGGAAGTTGGCAAGAACTGACTTTCTGTAATGAATTTTTATTGCTAAACCATGAAGTTCATTATTTCTGTTGGTGAATTGATTACAGTAACAGAACTTCTTCAGGAGTGATCCTTTCTCTTACCTGCCACATCTCCCCCATTTTCCTGGGATGGTTAAAATAGATGAATCAATAAACTACTGGTATTAACATTATGATATTTAGTTACCCAGCAGTTTATACTGTAAACTGGACAGCACCTTCATTGTGTCTTAGAAACACATGACCTTCCATCCTACCTATAGGTTTCACTGCAAACCATAATCTCATGTACTGGTTTTATTATTATTATTATTATTATTATTATTATTATTATTTTCATTTTCATTTTCATTTTAAAATGGAAAATGCTCACTGTCAAGGTAATTTAGGGTAGGGTCAGTGGAAACATGAATATGGAAGATGATCATATTGGTAGTCCTACTCCTATCTCATGTATACAGTGTTGGATGGTAGCTGGCATTTGTTCTCTCAGTGAATGCTGAGGAAGAATTTCCCACATTTTTAACCTTGTACTGTTAAGAGTACAAACATATTTGTTTAAAATGGACACAAAATATACCTGATGCTTTTTTATTCTGACCTTGTTAAAGGAAGGATGCTCAGCTGAAAGCCAAGCTAGTGCCATCTAGTGAAAACCTAAACAATAGTTTGACCTTTACGTTGCATTAGACATAATGAAACTGAATTCTGGACTAATAATATTGCTGTAACTAGAAAACATGAAGCCCTTAGTTGTCATCACAGCTTGACATGGTTGTAAAGGTCAACACAAAAGAGCTGTCCAATGACTCATCTTGGAATATTGGAGTAATGAGAAGTTGCTCGTGATTTGCATGTACAATAAAGTTGGCTTTTGCTTTTCCCTTGGTGAGGACGTGCTCTGTATTGACCATATGTACATACAAAGAACAGTTACTTCCCCAGGACAGAGTCAGTGTTACCTACGTTTTTACCTATAGCTGACTTCCGTGCCACTTTATTTTTCTTCTCCTGTGTCCTGGTTTTTCTCCTTCCCTTCACATAAGTGTATTGGTAAATTGTATAATCCTGTATCAAATAATAATCTTCTCTTTCAAATGTAGCAGTCCCATTAACTGGAGTGGCAAGGGTCTAAACTGGGTCTCCTTATCAGTGCTACCATCTGAGACAGGGTGGGCAAACCTTTTGGCCCAAGGGCCACATCTTGGTATGAAAATTTTATGGTGGGCCATGAATGCTCACGAAATTAGGGTTGGGGTGCAGGAGGGGATGCGGACTCTGGCTGGGGGTGTGGGCTCTGGGATGGGGCCAGAAATGAGGAGTTCAGGGTGCGGGAGGGGGCTCTGCGGTGGGGGAGGGGAAAGGCTCCGGCTTGAGATGCAGGCTCTGGAATGAGGCTGGGGGTGAGGGATTTGGGGTGTATGAGGGTGCTCCAGGCTGTGACCAAGGGGTTCAGCGGGTAGGAGGGCGATCAGGGCTGGGGCAGGGGGTTGTGGCATGGGGGCGGTGAGGCTGCAGAGCCCCAGACTCCAGTCCCCAACAGGAGCTCGAGGGCTGGTTTAAACCAGATGGAGGGTCGGATGTTGCCCCTGGGCTGTAGTTTGACCACCCCTGATCTGAGACATGGTTTTCAATTTTTCTATAGGCAGATTAGACCTGCATGTTTATTTTCATAGTGGATATAACAAATTGTATTTTTTGCCTTTCCCAGATTTTAGGGAACTGTGGCTTAATACTTCCGTTTTCCTTTGGAAATCACAACCTGTGAAGCATAGATAAACTGTTTATTTTGACTGCTGGTGT